TGGACCACCGAACCAAGCGAGCGAGAGAGAGAGAGCTGTCTCTTATACACATCTAGATGTGTATAAGAGACAGCACACACACACAAGTGGCCACATGGCAGCGCAAATCCCCACAGCCTGCAGGAGAAAAAAAAAAGGTCTCAGAGGGGGACAGGGGGCATTGTATGCAGTTTCGTTTTGTAGGAGTACCGCACCCAGAGTGAAAACATGGAGAAACAGCAAACAGGAAAAGAAAATTGCTGAAAATAAACAGTCACGACCTATGTCCTGACCCACAGGTCCAGCCGTGATGAAGAGACACGAGATCGGTACTGGTACGACATTTATTTTGTTCCGGTATTGGTCTGTCAGAGGCTCGGGAAAATGACAGTTTTGGTTCGTCAAAACAGGTATGGGTGAACTGGTGGTCTAATTAGTTTCCCGACCCCCCCCCCCCTCCTCCCCCACGACCCAGACACCTGGAAATATCGTTTTCGCAGGTGTTTCCAAGCGTTTGGGGCATCTGCAGGATGGCCCCAACTTCGTTTTTTTTTTTTTTTTTTAACTCATCCCGCAGGCCTCTGCCATTCAGTAGGGCCAACTGGTCAGCTGTGAATCCATCAGCAGTCGGCTGCCATGCAACCCTGCCTGAAGTAGTCATCAACAACTCTCATATAACAATTCAGTTTATGTGGCAATTCTCTCCAACATAAAATGGAATGACCCACTTCTTGAAAGACAGAACTTGCTTCGCCTCAACCAAGTTGGGGCCCTCACCTTTACAGGGTCTCTCAGTTGCATTCGCTCCTGCAGCCGCTGCAACTCCTTCAACACTGCAATACATACGTCGTTCAACTCCTTTGATATTATCTGCTTGCAGTATCTTCCACAAAAAAAACGTACATGCCAACAGATTTCACGCACTCAATTCCTCGTTGTCCTGTGACTAGTGATAAAAATTCCCAGGGGGAGGAAGGCTGGCAAAAAGGAGGGGGGGAGAGGGGTCAGGAGCAAGGGAGGGAGAGAGGGAGACGGAGAGGGAGGGA